ACTGAAACTAGAGCCATGCCTATCACCTTGTTCTAGTATCAACTCAAAGTGGATTAAGGACCTTAATATTAGACCCAAAACTCTGAAGTTAGTACAGGAAAGAGCAGGGACTACTCCAGAAACAATAGGTACAGGCAAAGAATTCCTCAGCAGAACTCTAGCAGCCCAGCAACTAAGAGAAAGGATGAACAAATGGGACTACATGGAATTAAAAACTTCTGCATGACAAAAGGTATGGTCTGTAAACTGAAGAGACCACCCACAGAGTGGGAGAAAATATTTGCTAGCTATACATCAGACAAAGGACTGATAACCAGAATATATAGGGAGCTTAAAAAACTAAAGTTCCCCAAAATCAATGAAGCAATAAAGAAGTAGGCAACTGAACCAAACAGAACTTTTTCTTTTTTTTTTCCTTTTCATTTATTCATATGTGCATACATGTTTGGGTCATTTCTCCCCCCCAACCCCTAAACAAGAACTTTTCAAAGGAAGAAATCCAAATGGCCAAAAAACACATGAAAAAAAATACTCACCATCCCTGGCCACAAAGGAAATGCAAGTCAAAACTATACTAAGATTCCATCTCACTCCTATTAGAACAGCTATCATCAAAAACACCAACGACAACAAATGTTGGTGAGGATGCAGGGGAAAAAGGAACTTTTCCCACTGCATTTCCCACTGCTGGTGGGAATGTAAGCTAGTACAATCCCTTTGGAAAACAATATGGAGGCTTCTTAAAAAACTAAACATAGATCTGCCATATGATCCAGCAATACCTCTCCTGGGGATATACCCAAAGGAATGTGACTTAGGTTATTCAGAGGCACCTGCACAGCCATGTGTAATACAGCACTATTCACAATAGCTAAGTTATGGAACAGCCAAGATGCCCCACTACTAACGAATGGATTAAGAAAATGCCGTATCTATACACAATGAAATTTTACTCAATCATGAAGAAGAATGAAATCTTGTCATTCACAAGTAAAAGGATGGAACTGGAGAACATCATCTTAAACAAAGTTAAGCAAGGCTCAGAAGGCCAAAAAATCGCATGTTCCCCCTCATATGGAGACTTTAGACCTAAAACAAAGCAGTAATATTATTGGACATGGGTCACACACTAAGGGGAGAACTCAAACAGGAGGAATAAGGAAAGGTAGGAAAGCCAAAACTTGAAAGTGTTTGATGTGCCCACTGTAGAGGAGTGAATAAAATAATCTTAAACTGACAGAAGCCACTATGGGAAGGGGACTGGGAAGTAATGAAGAGGTCTGGTAGAGATGAATCAATTCAGGTTTTAATACACATTTACATGGAAGCAATGCTAGGAATCTCTCTGAATAGCTATCTTTACCTCACTAGAAAAAATGCTATGTCTTTCTTAATACCTCTCCAAATTGGAGAAGAGGGCAAAACAAGTTCTGCCTGGAAGCAAGGAAGATGGGAGAGGAGAGTGGGGCGGGGGAAGAGATGGCACAAACAATGTATACACATATGAATAAATGTATAAACAATAAAAAAAAAGGCTGGAGAAAAACTTAAGTTTAGAAAAGAGGGAATTTTGGAGAAAATATGGCTGATGTCTTAGAATATAATCAACAGTAATTCTACCAGTATTTACATAAATATATGGCTCAAAAGAGGTAAATTGAACAATATTCAACTAGAAGAGTCATTAGTATCTTAAACTTTGCAAATTTTGGGATTCCCTACATAATCTTTAATCATTTAACACATTAACTTGACTTGTAAATCAGTATCTATTAAATTACCCAAAAGAATATAATCAAATGAGTGTCAATTTGATTATCAATGTAGAAGCAGAAAAGAAGCTAAAACTAACTAACCAAACTTACAAGGTTTGAGGAAGGGTGCTTTCATCATGACTAAATTTATTTTATGAGATACAAAAGCTATAACTGTGATTTCTATTCTTAAACTATGAAGCCTGTGTCCTAATAAAACGTCAGTTTAAAACACAAGACAATGAAGACCACCATTACCAACAGCACCCCATAAGAACGTGAAAGATTATAAAACAAAACTCCTTTTATAGAGTTGAATCCTTTCCAGGGTGGGCCTTTAAGACATTCTGACAGCACACACAAATACTGTATCTGGATCAAACCCAAAATGGCACAGCTGCAAGACATCTTCCACTGAAGTTGTAACAGACTCAATAGTAGTTTCTTCCTTTTAGCAAGAAAGTCTATAAAAAAGCCAGAAGCAAGGGTATTTTCCCTCTACAAACTGTTCAATGAAACCACTTTCTCCTGACCCAAACTGTAACTCTATTTTTAAAAAAACTAAAATACTGTTCCAATCTTAATTTGCAAAAGCACCTCTGTATGGTTTCCATTAAGAAAAATTCCCAAGTAAACCAAAACTATAGAAATCAACATTCTTAAAATTGTAATTCATCATCATCTCAAACAGGAAAATTTGGATCTACAGTAGCTGAATTTTTTTCAAATTTCTTAGGAGTAATCATGATAAAAAAAATCAGATAATTAGTATTCATATTCAAGATATCTGGATATTTATGACCAGTAAGAACAAAATATATTAAAGACATCTTAAAAATCAATTAGGAATAACTTCAAATCAATGCTTTACTGTGATACATTCACTGCAACTGTTTTAACTACATTTCTATAGCAATACCAACAAATTATTCTTATACAAATACTTCATCTGTAGCCAAAATGGAAACTAAAGGAAGAGGGGGAGGAGGCGAGAGGGGAAGGGAAGGGAGGGGAGAGGGAGGGGAGCGGAGGGGAAGGGAGGGGAGAGGGAGGGGAGGGGAGGGGAGGGGAGGGGAGAGGGAGGGGAGGAGGGGAGGGGAAAGGGAGGGGGAAAGCCTTCCAAAACTTCATTCCACAAACTTCAAAATGAAAGGCTTAAATATTTAACAGTTACAGTTAACCACAAGTGCAGATATGCTCATGCTTCACAAGGGAAGTTAATGATAGAGAAGGTATAATTCTATAAATTGTTTGACAATTCATTCTGAATAAGGACAAAACAAGGAAATGAAGTAATTAGCAACAAATTACTTACTTGGGATATTATCTACAACTCTAGAGAAACAGAACGGGAAAACTTCTGCCAAAAAAGCAGAGTATTCAAATAATCTAAAGTCAAAAAATAAGAAATTTCTCAGCTTCTTTCAGATTTTCAATATCCCTGTTAGTGAAGTGTTTTAAAGTGAACAAAATATTTTACAATAGACCTCCCTGTTTTGTAAACAAGCTCTCAGCTTTACAAACATCCTCATCTATGCTTCAAAATATCTGTACATAGAAAAATATCGAGCTCATTTTATACTCAAAATGACGCACAGAGAAATTTAAAAATTTCCTTAAATGAGCATAGAATGAGAAATTACATAGTGACTAATCATCAGTCCTGGAGTCAGAGAAAACTGAATCTGGATTCTGTCTTGACATACTAACAACTATGTTTGAGGTAAATAGCTCATTTGAATCCAAGTCTAGTCTCTGTAAGATAGTCTTAATGTTACACCACGACGCTTACCTAACTTCCTAATTATACTTCACTGAACTCCAAAATGCAGCCTTTATATAAACAGTGTCACCTACCTATTTCTCACTTTTGCACGTAAACTTTACCACACATAGGAGAATTTTATTCAACTCTTTCTACTGTTGGAAACTTTCTCAAAAATACGTATTTTTTTAGGAAACACATAACAGAAGGGAGGTGTGTGGCTCAAGCAGTAGTAGAAGTGTGAACCCCTTAGTTCAAACCCCAGTATCACAAAATAAAATAATAAAATAAGAAGCCAGAAATACATGAGGAACACTGCAAAACAACTGAAAAGTAGATCTATCTACATACATGTGGACACACACTTGGTATTTAATGTTAATAGCCTTTCTTCAATGCATTGATAATTATTAGGAGACACCAGAAAAATATAAATAAAAAGCCTTCCTATAAACTTTTGAGTAAACTATAAATGCATTTTAAGAAAGGATATGTCTACAAGTAATACAAAAACATAGACCAGATTTCCCAGTTACTGATTTCAAACATCCTACCCAATGTCTCCTTAAGTAAACCTCACAGTTCTGATCACATTTTTTAAAAGATATAATCACCAGATTTCAGAATTTAAGAATGAGAGAATAAAAACAATCTGAAAGCTGGGCATGGTGGTATGCACCTGTCATCCCAGCTATGAGGGAGGCACAAATAGAAGGATCAATGCAGGTGGGTCTGGGCATATGGCTGTCTCAAAAATAATCAAAGCAAAAAGGGCTGAAGGCATCGTTCAAGGAGTAAAGCGCCCACATAGTAAGGGCAAAGCCCTGTGTTGAGTTCAATCTCTCAGTATGCAAAAAAAGGGGGGGGAGGAAGGAAGGAAGAAAGGAAGGAAGGAAGGAGGGAAAGCGGGAAGGAGGGAGGGAGGGAGGAAATAAGAACTTTGAAAGAAAGGTTGAATTGTCACACTGGGAAAGAGAAGCAAGAGCAGTAACAAATGAAGTAAAGAAGCAAGATGCACAGATGTTCTGGGAGATTCAGGAGAGTGAGAAGTGGTGAGCAGATCACTGAATTAACACTGTCCCTGAATCCAAGTTACACACAAAAAAATCAGTCACAGGTAATGCTGAAACTGCTAGCTGGAAAGATTGTCCAGGACTCTGAAGGCCAGGATAAGAACTGTGGCCTAAAAAATACAGGTAAGATAGAGTCAACAGGAAAGTCATGTTGGAGACGATTAAGTGTGGATTGGTGCTAGTTCAACCAAAAGGTCCCCTGTGATCTTTTGTTCAATACTGTACAATTCAGAGTTCTATCCAACATTAATTTATTTTGTCTTAAGTTTTACTACAAGATGAGATTATGGATCCATATGCCTGTATTTACTAAAGCCAAGGATGTGAAAACCACACTACTGCTTTAAAACTTTCTTTCTGATTGGCTCACTTGCAGCCCATTACAGATCTGTAGGATAGCATTCTTACCAGTTCTCCATACGAAAGTGAAAGATTTAGGCACTTCACTCTGTTGGTAAAGAAAAAGGATTTTCGTAAGAGTTAAAACTATATGTAAATATACAAACATTGCATAACAACATGAAATAAAATGCACATTGTAGGTCATTTTCCTAAAAAAAAAAGAATATAGGTGAAGAGCTCCCTGAAGATTGTTTTCTTTTGGATAGCAGTTCTTTTGAGATGTATCACCCATTCTCAGTGTGCAAATCAATAGTTTTTAGTATAATCAGAGCTGTACAACCATTACAACAATTTTAGGTCATATTCATCACTTCCAAAAAGAAACCCCAAACACTTCCTAACTGATTGTATGAGGCTGATACTACCTCCACACAATCTAGAAAGACAAAGGATCTTATACTACAACCAAGTGGGATTTGTTACAGGTGTACAAGCTGGTTCAACAAAGGATAGTTACAATGATAAATCACATTAATAGAAATGAAGGAGTAGGGCTGGCAGAGTGGTTCAAGTGCCTGCCTACCAAACACAAGGCCCTGAGTTCAAACTAGAAATGAAGGGGTAAAAAGCCATGCATGATATGATCATTTTAACAGACACAGAAAAACAAAACACTTGACAAAAACCAGTATCTTTTCATGATAAACGTACTCAACAAAGTAGAAACAGAAGAAAACCTCATTTTGATAGCAGCATCTATAAACAACTCACCCCTTTGACATTATACTTAATGGAGAAAGAATAAAAGCCTTCCTCCTTACATCAAGAACAATTTAACATTTCTGTCTTCAGTGAAATTTTTGTCCCCAAGGAAGGCAGGATTATAATTTTTTCATAACAGATTGAGTTGGTGTAGTGTATTCTTGGCTATCAAAATAGTCACGTAGTTTTGGGATTGAGTTGGTAAGTATTCACAATGTATGGAAAAGCATGACACAGACCATACGATCTCAGTTACCTAAAATGGATCATTGTGTGTACACAGGATTTAGGACAGTCCAACTGTACTGCTTGTGGCTATGGATATTTTGTTCTTTGCTTCATGTGTTTGTTTCCTGTAATGCACATGTTAACTTAATAAAGGTTATTTTAAAAACCTGAAAAAAAAAAAAAAAAGAACAATTTAAGGTGTCTTTTCTTACCACTTCTATTCAACATTGCACTGAAAGTTCAAGTCGGCAATTAAGCAAGAAAAATAAAAGTATTCATTTCAAAAAAAAAAAAGCATCTAATAGAAAAGAAGGAAATTATCTCTACTAGCTCAACAGAGTTGCAGAATACAGAAACAATATATGAAATTAACTATATTTCTACACAATGAACAACCTGAAAACAAAATAATTCCATTTAGCTTCAAATAGAATAAAACACAAAGGAGTAAACTTCATCAAGGAAGTATAAGATTTATACACCAAAAACTAGAAAACATTGTTGAAAGAAATTAAGTAGAAAGACATCTGTTTTCATGTATTCGAAGATTTAGTAGTGTTAAAATGGCATAATCCCCATGTTAATCTACATATTTGATATAATTCCTATCAAAATTCTAGCTGTTTGTATACAGAAATGGATAAGGCAATCCTAAAATCCTTATGGAATTGCAAGGGGCTCCAAATAGCCAAACTAATCTTGAAACAGAAGGACAAAGTGAGAAGATTCATATTTCCTAATTTTACAACTTATATAATGCTGAGTAATCAAAACATTATGGTAGTAACATAAAAACAGACATACAGATCAATGGAATAGAATGGAGAGTCCAGAAATAAGGGGAACAAACTTTTTTAAAAAACAGCACTGGGACAACTGGATATCCACATGCAAAAGAATGAATCTGAAACCCTATCTCACACTATAGACAAAAATTACTTCAAAATGAGTGAAAGTTCATGAATGAAAGGCCTAAATATAGGGAAAAAAACTGTAAAACTCTTAGAAGGAAACATAGATATAAATCACCATGATTATTCAGACTAGGCAATACATTTTTCAATATGACACCAAAAGCAAAACAACGAAAGAAAAAAAACAGAATTGGACTTCACCAAAATTACACAAACACTTGTGAGTTAAAGGACACCATCAGGAAAGTGAAAAGACAATCAACTAAATAGAGAAAGTACTTGTAAACCACAGATCTGATAAAGGTCTAACATCCAGAACATATAAAGCATTCTTAAAATTAAATTCAAAAAATTGGCAAAAGATTTAAACAGACTTTTCTCCAAAGAAGATATACAAATGGCCAATTATCAATGAAAAAAATGTTCGGCATCACTAGTCATTAGAAAATGGAAATCAAAATCATATTAAGACACCTCTTCAAACCCACTTCAGGGTGACTATTTTTAGAAAAAAGGCCAGCCTTGGCAAAAAAAAGTTCACAAGACCTCATCTCAACCAATGGCTAGGCGTGATGGTACGTGCCTGTTATCCCAGTTACTAGGGGAAGCACACATAAGAGGACTGAGGTCCAACCTGGCCCAGGTAATAAAGCAAGACCCTACCTCAAAAATAACCAATGCAAAAATGGCTGACAATGTGGCTCAAGTGGTAGCTCACCTGCCTAGCAAGCATGAGGCCCTGAGTTCAATTCCCAGTACCATGTCAAAAATTAAAAAGCAGAGATTATCATTTTGAATAAAAATGCAAGACCCAATTCTACATATTCTACAATCAACCCACTTGAAAGACAGGGCTAAGAATGAGTGAAATATTAAGAAGAAGCAAATTGTGATGTAGAATATGTTGAGACGGTAAAGAGATGGCCCTAGATAGTAAAAATGAGGTGTTCTGTTTAGTGATCTATATATAGTGATCTATATATAAGTCTAAACAAAGACCAGATAATAATATAAATAAGTGTTACCCTGTACCCAATGTTTAAAGCATACAATTGTATGTCCTAAAAGGTGCTTAGAACCTAACTAATTAGACAAATTAACTTTAACTATATGGTATAATATTGGTTCAAGTCCATGACTAGAAAACACCAATGGCTTTGAACCTAAAATATGTTGATTTATGCCTATTTTGCCCTTATTTCCACCTACAAGGTTAATAACATTACTTATGTTAATAGCAATAAGTAATTACTTAACACGTAGAAGATTATTAATAATAAGTAATTACTTAACATGCAAAAGATAGCTATCTTCTACATGCACACAAAATGCTACTGTAATCATATGGGGGGAGCTTAAGTGGTATACCAAATAAACAGTTACAGGATCTTAGAGCCTTCACTCATCCCCAATTATATTCTCACTCATTCCCAATTATACTCTAACTTAGTAAATTTAAGCTAAAAGACTTTCAACATGTCTAACTCAGGCTTCACACAGTAGGAAGCTCTTATTAAACATCTATATGTTTTGCTTACAATCTAACACTCCAATATTTTTATTCCTTAACTCCCAAAATACTTATTCTTTAAAAAAACAATGCATACAATGTGATTTGAACTTCTAACCCAACCCAAAAGTTTCTGCATGTGTACTTCTTTCCAGCGGTTTTTAATAAAGTTTTTAAATTGTGGCTCAAAATCTTCAATGAACACCTTGAAAGTATTCTTAGTGCCACAGAAGGTAGAAACAGTATAATACATACATGCTTAACATGTTATCTTTGCTTTGTTTCTCTTCACAAAGAGAAATTTAGTCTTTGTAAGGAAAACCAGAAAATATTTTTCAAACTTTTATTTTGAAAAGACTGTGAAAAGTTCACATCCATGGTTATGATTTGTTTCTCTTGGATATAAACATACACCCACCCACTGGCTTCAGAAACCAGAAATCCTAGGAGAGTGATATTTCCTGGAAGTTTCAACTGGGAAAAAAAAAAAAAAAAAAAAGAAGTATCTTTTCCAAGAAGGACAGCTAATAGTAAATAATACAAATGTCCTTTTAAATTAATAACAATTTATAAAAATACTACCTTACACAAAAGACATACTCATTCAACAAGTATTTCTTGAACAACTATCAAGAGGATGATTTGCACTCACACATTTGATTCATGATGAAGAATCAATCAAATATTATGCAAAATGATTCAGCAAGAAAAAATTATGTGTCCACAGTTTTATAGAACAATTCCTGGTTCCCAGCTCCCAGCATGCCTCTCTTTACCACTAAACAGTTAGTGAGATTGGCTGTGTCTCCAAGTAAGCAATCAGATACCTAGCAGCAAAGACTACAATCTTACATACATATCCTCCACAGCCTAACAGACATAGTACCTGGCATGTATGTAGTAGGCAGTTAAAGGAACATTTGATTAATTGATGTGCAAGTGCATCTAATTCATTACGTAGTAACAGCTACTATTAAATCCCAGTGAAACAAACAACAAAAAATACAATTCAGCACAAGTATAATTTCTCTGTCTCCCACTTAGTTGTGCATTTTTTATTTCTACTATTTCTACTTATCAATTTGTCTTACTGTGAACCTAACAGTTCTGTCTTCTTACTCACCTTTGAATCCCCACTCTGGCACACAGTTATGACAGGGGATAAATATGTTTCATACTAAACAGCAACAACAACTAAAGATGGTTACTTAAGTCAACATTCCCAAACTTCATATTATTATTATTATGCAGTATGTGCAATGTGTTTAACTGGTAATGATGAAATTTACTATTACAATTAAATATTTGATCCTAGTCACCTTTATAGTAACATTTAAAAAAAAAAAGAACAAAAGAAAGAAACTTCATGGCACCAGGTATTATTGTACAGAAAAAAAACACAAAAATCCCTATTAGAGTTCGAAATGTCATCTAACAGCTACACATAAAAGAAATATGAAATAAGGTTTTCTTGGGCCAAGAACATAAGGGATCCTCCAGAAAACCCAACATATATTTCTAAAACACAGATAATTGTAATTATGATTCTTCCTTCAAAAGTAATATGGCTGGAATATAACTCAGTGGTACAACACTTGTCTACCACGTGTGAGGCCAAGGGTTTGATCCCTAGCACCACAAAAATAATAAAATACTAATTTTAAAAAGGTCTCCAGTGGCTCCTGTAGAGCC